ATAATAATAATAATAATAATAATAATAAAACATAAAATATTATCAATGTGTTATAACATAACTGACTCAGCAAACATGAAGAGAAAAAGAGAGACAGACAGACAAAGAGAGAGAGAGAGAGAGAGGAGGGAGAGAAAGAGAGCACTAAAAGGAAGAGGAGGTTTAAGGAACTAGAGGAATATGATCTTTAAGACAAAAACATGCTCCCAAGAGTAGCACTTAAAGAAAGTACATGTACTGTAGATTGTGTACATGCATAAGTACACAAGTACAGCTAGTAAATAGATTTACACCAATTAGCAATAGAGGTGGTGGATGCATGTACATACATGCAATAAAGTCAATATGTGTGTACCGTCAAAATGAAGATGCGAGTACACTGTACATGTTGTGTATGAAAACCAAGAGGGAAACTGAAGCAAAAAACACTCACTCACACGCAAAAAAACAATATCAGTAAGGTTGACACCTCAGTTGTAACAAATCTCATCAGGATTGCTGCTGTTTATCATACACATGTGCAAGTGAATGGAGAGTGGCATAATGTGTGTTGGTAAATAAAATCTCAAACATTTGTCAGTGAATGAATGACATGGTCTTACAATACACTCTCACTCTACGAACGGATCATGTCAAAAACAATGACGGAAATGAGCACATGTAAAGAAAAGGAAATATTTCCAAATAAGGAAACGGGAACCAAAGCTTGCCGTGATCTCTCTTCAGTTCTGCTTAGTGTTTCTTTTAGGATATAAAAACAACAAGACAGCCATTACTGACCACGTGTCTCTCATTGTATCTCTCAACAATAACCAGGACAAGAAAGAGTAAATATGTGTGGAAACTAAATAGAACAAAATGGCTAAATAAAGCAGAGACATACCCATGTACATGTACAAGGAAAAAGGACATTAAAATATGTACAAGGAAGTAAGAGAGGAAGGGGAGAGAGAGACAGAGGGACTGAGATACAGAAATAGAGTGTGTGTAAGAGAGAGAGGAGGGAGGGAAGATTGAGGGATATAGAGAGGATGCAAGTGCTACATTTATTATACAGCATCCAGTCACTTCCATCATGAAATCAAACCACATCACAATAACAGACTCGAGCCAAATTTAATAGTTTAACGAATAATACTAAGATACAATAGTACACATAATAAAATACGTGGGTACAGTACATATGCATTAGAATTATTGTTCATAAACAGGTGGACACTACAATTGAAGTGTACATGTATCAAGTGTATTATTACACAGTACACAATATTCATACATACATGTACACCTAGGATTAAATGTATAAAAACATTAAAACTGCTTGTACATGTACATTGTGTGTGTGTGTGTGTGTGTGTGTGTGTGTGTATGTGTGGCAGGCTCCAAATTGATCGATAAAGTTTCCAAAATGAATGAAAAGTTTATGTTGCATGCCACAACATCTGTTAGCTCAGACACACAAAAACAAATAGGAACAGGAGACATTATTAGATTTAAAAACATTAGGAAACTATGTACATGTACCTTACCCACACACAAACACACTCACTCTCTCCCTTCCCACTCACCTTGTACACTTCACCGTACGTCCCAGATCCAATTTGCTTGACCAATTCAAAGTCTCTCTCAGGATTCTTCCTTGAGATATTAGGAAGGATACCATCAGGACTGATAGCCATACTGCTAGACAGGGAGAGGGTGAGAAAGAGTGAGAATAAGAGGGTATAATAGGGCAGAGAAACAGACGGTGCTATAACAGAAACAAAACCAACTCAGGAAGCATGAATCCAGACAAAATATCATTAGTGCCATACCTTGAGTCTTGTCCTCTGTCTCTCTCGTCAGCGAGTGAGTCCACAAGACGGCAATGAGAGTCAGAACAGAGTGAACACTAGCCTACTGGCCGTGCACAGACCAAGGGAAGAAAGACAAAACGAACAGAGTGAGAGAGAAGGATGGAGGGCTATGAAGAAGAAGGAGACTAGCTGATCTGAGGAGGTATTCACGTGATCTCTCTAGACTATGAGCGGATAAAAAGAACAATTGTGGTATCATGTCATTTTAATGGAAGAACAGGTACAGGTACATTTTAATTTATTAAAATAAAAACAAGTCTTTACATTGTAATTTGGTTTCTTTTAGGATATGAGTGGAGGGAATCATGCTTTCTTTCAACTCCTAGGCTCAGTCAATAATACAAACATTGATCTCGTTGACAATACACTGCTACAAGGTAAGAGCAGAAACTATGGCTGACCAAAAATTGGCATAAAACAATCATTAGAGAGAGAGAGAGAGAGACGAAATTGTCTATTGCCTACAGAGCCCAGGTTATGCTGAGCATTAATCAGTTTATTGATTTTAATTTGCTAAGTGGCACAAACAAGCCACTAAAATGCTTAGTGTGCTTAGTGGTAGATGTTAGAGTAGATAAGTGACACTAATGCCAAACTGCAAAGGAGTTACACTTTTGTGAAAAGTGTAGAATTATGAAAATAATTATCTGTTACAACATGAGTGTAAACTGAAAGTAATTTTGAAGAAGAAGGTGTGGCTCATTTGAGAGGTGTGGCTCAGTAATATGAATTGATTAGTTAGCTGTTAATTGGTGTTAATAAGTATTAATAATCATAAAAATAATTGCTTTATCTAGATTTGTCTCTTCTCTCGGTACCTAATCAGAATGGCCTGTTGCCTATACAGGTAGCAGCCAATAGAGGATATAGTCCACTTATTCAGTTACTAGCTAAACATGGAGCTGACATAGAAGTGACAACTAAAGATGGGAAGACTCCTGTCATGTTAGCTTGTCAGGTATTGAAACTAATTATAAAACACAAACATGACGCATTAATGTAATGTATATCTTTTATTTCTGCTGTATTATTGTTTCTAAATGAACCTCGTTAATTGGAGTAATACATGTACATGTATCTTGTTACTTGCATGTAGTAGGAACTCCTTTTGTAATGAGAGTCTATCAGATTAGCCACATAAATGCTTGCTATACCTTAGCTCTAGCTTATACATGTACCTTTTATTTGCTAGACTTTTAACGAAAGAGTTGAGCCCAAGGTAATCTGAAACATCTGTCCTCATTGGTGACTTTAATATATTTCTTGTTCCATGCTATCTATTACAACACATGCTCTAGACTAGTATTATGATTTATTGTACATATGGATGTTATGCATGTACATGTAACTCTACATGCAAATGAACATGCAAATAATAAAATATGAACACCTAAAGTCATTGATTCATGGTATGACAGAGTGTTAATTATATATCATTTAATCTTGCATTCCTTGTTGTACCTCAGTGATCAATCTTTCACTCTTGCTTATAATCACTCATTAGTCATAACGTCATGCAGTTATGAGCTGCTTAAATATTATTGGATGAATTTACATTTTTTATTTCATTCTCATCAGAGTGGTAGCCTGTATGCTGTTCATGCATTCAATCAGTGTGGTTCTAATATGATTTCAAGAGATTCCTATGGAAGGACATTAATGCATTATGCTGCTACTGTAGGAGCTGTGTGAGTATAACTTGTGCTCGTCCTCACAATAATAATGTCCTTATTTCTGCAGCCATACCATGCACTATCTCCATGTTAACTGTAATCTTGCATATGATGCAAAAGATAACGAGTAAGTTTAATTTTTTTTAGTTTATGATTCCTTAATCTCTTTCCCTCCTTTTTGTCTGCCCTATTTATTCTGCATATCTCTTTGCTGACCATTTCATCAAGTGATTACACTCCATTGCATCTTGCAGTATGGAATTCTCATATGCAATGTGTGACATATCTCTTGAAGAATGGAGTATGAATGAATGATTTTTTACATAATATGCTACCTTATTATTTTTAATTGTATAGAGGTGTGGTGATGTCAACGCTGCTAACGTATATGGGACAACTCCATTGGCTGTGGCAGCAAAGAATGGATCAAGGTATATTCATGTACCGTACATCATAAAATGATACTACAGTTACTGCAATGAAAAATTTTTTAGGTCAATAGCAAGACATCTTATATTATCTTCTAAGAAGAACCTGTTGCTGTCAAAGGATGGTAATGGAATGACACCAGTGCAGCATGCTTTGCATGGAGGAACAGACAAGTAATACTATTAATATTTCAGTGGTTGATCAGGGGCCCAACCCTCACTTTAATAAGAATTAATAGTTAACTATTTTAATTTGTTGACACTCCTACTTGTGGAACCCTTACTTAGATCTGCCACTGTAGTTGGATATGAAAATCTTACTTTTTGTACAAAGCTCAATGACATTTTGTCTCTTGTCATTCTCTTAATTTTTTCCTTTCACCACTTGTCTCTCTCTCTCTCTCCAGATTCAAGGAGTTTGCACTACAGATGTCATTATGGACAACAGAGCAGCTAACGGCTGGTCGCTCTCTAATGCCAAGCTATGACACTCTTACTTGGTATTTTGTATTCTTTCTTCCTGGCTCAGCTCTAACACTAGCAGCTGTACTCTTCACTCTCATACCATATCTATCAGTCTCCATTCCCCTTGCTCTAGCAATAGTTATATTTGGTTTCTTTGCTCCTTTGAATAATCACCGACTACCAACTGATTCCGGTTTACAGAATCCAGCCCCAATGGGTGCCTTTCTAGCAGGACTTACCATAACAGTAATATGCTACTTTACTCTTGTTTGGCCCCGTATGTAACAGATTACTTGTTTATTATTATTATTATTATGTTTTATTTTATAGGTCTATGGCCTGATAACTGGTACTGGTTCATCATTATTGCTTTTGACTATATTGGAATCATTTATTTATTCTGGTTTGTCTTAATTGTGTGCGTCAATTTTCAGCTCATTTCAATTTAGGAAACTAGAGTATACTGATCCAGGATTCGAATATGTTGGCAAGAGAAGTGAAGATGGTCGTCCATTGGTAAGCTCATTAAGATCTCTTATTATTATTATTAAATGTTACTATCTTGCTTTATAGACTATTGTTGATGTAGCTGGACAGGAAAGAGGCTCTGGAATACAATACTCATTTTGTACTGAATGTGAGGTACTGAAAGCATAATATTTCTTGGTAGCAAAATTTGAGGGATATCAATAGTTCATAGATTTTACTCTCTCATATATAAAGTGGCAAATTTTAAATTATAATTTGATTTTGATGTCCTCTGTTTTATGCTATATAGATTGTAATACCTGAGATGGCTAAACACTGCAAGCTCTGTTCACGTTGCTGTAATAATTTTGATCATCATTGTCTATGGCTCAAGATGTGCATTGGAGCTAATAATCATCACACGTTTGTAATATTCCTCTTCCTTCTCTCTCTGGACAACTTCCTGTTTGTTCGAGGAGGTTGCTCAAGTAAGTGAGTATTGTATGGCAAGCAGGGTTTCTAACAAGATTTTGGTATACAGTCAAACCTTTCTAAGACAGACACCTATGGGCCAGCCATCACTGTCCTTATACGGAAGTGTCCTTAAATTGGAGGTTATCCCATGCTAATCAAACCAGAAAATTTGCCATATTTTGATGTGCGTTAATTAGAAAGTCCTTTGCGTGGGCCGTGTTTGTCCGTTGGAGGTTAATTTGTACACGTGTAGATGTGTGGGGACAGTAAATCTCATATGTTATACAGAATAGAGAGGTTCCGCTATATAGATGTTCTTTTATACACTACCCAATAGCCTTATGGCCAGGACAAGAGCAACTGTACGTTATAGAGAGGTGTCCGCTAATTAGGGGTTCGTTTTAGAGAGGTTTGACTGTAGTACATTTTAAATTTAACGTCATTTATTATAGTACAGCTAATAGAAAATTTTCCAATTTTATAATTTTCTGATTCATATGCATGTTCTTTTGTTGCATAGAAATTTTGAGCTAATTCCAATCAAAAATAGAATTTTTAAAGCCACTGTAAGATTAGGCTGAATTCCCTGTACAGGGCCTTTGGCCAAATTTGTCAGTAATGGCTAGGTGAAATTTCTACATTTTAATAATTTTTTGGATACATTTACATGTACATGTACTTATGTTGTATAGAAAGGTTGAGTGGATTCTCATCAAAATTCGATTTTTTATAAATTTTTAAAGATACATGTACTACTTGTGAGCTCGTGAAACTCATGCTGTTTAGCTCATGTAGCATGTTTTGTGGAAAACTCTGATGCCAAGCAATTTTTAAAATTAAAGCATCTTTACAATAATAATGGTTTCTGATATTGTTAATTATTTTTAGTACTTGAAACACAGTATTGCTACTTGTGTAATTGAATTTCTTTTAATTTTAGTTCTTGCTTTATTGTCTGGTACATATGACCCCTGGGTCTTTTTAAAGGTTAGTATTAGCATAATAACAGTGAATGTAATTATTTCTAATAGTATGCAATGGTACATGAAAAGTTTCTCATATTTTTAATGTTATGCAATTTTCTGACCGGATTATTTGGAATGATGGTAAAAGAAACTATTTATAGACTACTGTCTCACCATTTTATTGTACAGAATCTTTTATACCAGCTGTCTATCATTTCAGCAAAGGAAACAACTTATTTTGATTCTAAAGGATTGGCAGCTTTTGGTCGAAAAAGGTACTAATTTAGTTCACTAATACCCTAATTGCTCTTAATACATTATTATTATAGAGACAGACAGAAATTGTCAGTTGTGACTCGACTTAGAAATATAAAGACTTTCTTTTTTAACGGCCGTCACAAGAAACAGGAATTCAGTTCAAATACATTTATGGTTTGACATAATATTAACATTGATGTGAATTATTATTATTATTATTATTATTATCATTATTATTATTATCATCAACAACAACAACTAATGTTATAAAGAAATAAAATGAAACCAAGGCAAAAGGAGAATGTCAAAAAATTAAGCATTTACTGACTGTGATTTCAAAAATAGTTAAAAAGTTGAATTTGTAATCCTGGATTGTTATGATTTTGCTATTTCATCATAAGTTGGTTCATTATTAATGAAGGCTTCTGCTCTGCTTCTTCCTATGTCTTCATAAGCTGGATTATTATTAATCATTAGGCTGTTAAACTGGTATGCTTCATTAGATGCAGTAAGCACCCTTTGTTGTTGCAATGAGATACTCCCTGTAAGTAATAAATAATATAATGATTGTAAATTAAAATGCTTACTAGCTTTCCTCATGTATATAATAATAAAACAAGCTGATGAAATGAGACATATCATTAGTAATATGACTGTACTCGTTGACCACATAACAACTATATCAGTTGTGATAGTAGGGGATGATTGAGTAGCAGTAGTTGTAGTGATATTGGGATAAAGTTGTGATGTATCTGTTAATGTAATACTTGATATGTACTATAAACATAATGTGCATATAACTCACCAAATGCTAGTATAAATGGTTCACTACTACCAGCCTCATTACTAAATACAATACTGATATTACACTGTTGATGCTGATGGACTGATATTAATCCTGTTATATTATTTCGTTGTTTAGTATGCTTTATTATATAAGAGCTACTATATATACTACCAGTATCATTACAATGTATAGTAACTGTAGCACTATTAGGGGCTTCACCAGTGCACTCTAGCATTACCTAATAGAGGAGCTTGTGAATTAATACAAAAAAGGCCTTTCTATACACTAGCACTTTTGGGCATTGGGTCATTCCACACCTGATGCAGTGATGCATATTTTGCTTCAATGCATCCACATTATCTTCTCCATATGTGATTTAAATGCTCATTCATTAAAAACCAATGGCAGCTGGATAGAATGCTCTAGTATCATGAGAAGATTGTGTGAAATCACTTGATGCACATGCATTCATTGTGGAACCAGTTCAAGCCACAGTGCATGACTAGTCTAGAAAGGCCCTCTATCTTACCAGTATATTGAACTCAACAATAGTCAAAATGTTTTGTGTATAACTAAATTTTAGAAAAACAGTATTTTCATTAGCTGATCTAGGAACTGAGTAACAATACAATTAATCATATATTCAATTATTGTAGCTATACCTCTCTGATAGGAGAAAGTAGCTTTATGAGGTATTCCTTCTCCTAATTCATTAACTCCAGTTATAGCATATGTATAACGA